CACCAAGTGCCACCACTGGTATGTCTGTGACAACCCCCTGGCAAAGTCACATCTGTCACTGTGGGCCGTGGTGGTGCCGAAGAGACAGTGCCAGGCATAGAGGCTGGGTATGCTTGAGGTTCTCTTAATTTTATATAGAATGCTATGCAAACAGAACTTCAAGACACATTCCTATAATTCAAAAGATACATGCACCCCTATTCACAATAGCCAAGACATGGAAACAACCTAAATGTCCATTGACAGATGAATGGATAAAGAAGATGTAGTACATATATATGATGGAATACTACTCAGCCATAAAAAAGGATGAAATAATGCCATTTGCAGCCACATGGATTGACCTGGAGATTATCATACTAAGTGAAGAAAGTCAGACAGAGAAAGACAAATACCATATGATATCACTTATATGTGGAATCTAAAATATGACACAAACGAACATATCTGTGAAACAGAAACAGACTCACAGACATAGAGAACAGACTTGTCGCCAAGTGGGAGAGAGGGGCAGGGGAGGGATGGGTTGAGAGTTTGGGATTAGCAGATGCGAACTACCGATATTATGTATAGAATGGATAAACAATAAGGTCCTACTGTACAGCACAGGGAAATTTATTCAATATCCTGTGATAAACCATAATGGAAAAGAATATGAAAAAGAATGTAAATATATGTATAACTGAATCCCTTCACCGTACAGCAGAAATTAACACAACATTGTAAATGAACTATACTTCAATAAAATAAATTTTTTTAAAAAAAGGACACATTCCTACCACTGTCCACTCCATCCCCTTTCTAACCCGATTGTTGGCCCTCGGGTCCTCCTTTTTGGGAATTCTGTCACAGTCATCATCCTTAGTTGCTCAGCTGTGAACCTGGGATAATAATAACATCGACCTATCTACCTCCCAGTAGTGGTGTGGGGATTGGCTAACCAAGCCCTGTAAATAAATGTCTTGGAATATGGACAAACGAACACTCTCTGTCTATCTCTCAGAAAGAATTCACAACGTTTCCGTGGGCCTGACCCACAGTGGATGCTGCAACCCTTGTCACTCTTTGCCGGTATTTTGTCACTCTTGGAGAAAGGTCTCTGGGGTAAAAGGGCGGCTTAAATCACACACCCTCCCAATATCATGCTCAGAGGAATTTCTGGGAATCAATTTATTGCCGACGATTGCCAGCTGCTCTAAATCACTTCCTTTCCTCCCATAGACTGGCTCTTTCCTGATTTCTGCTTCTAGATGAAATGCGTGTGTATGTGGGTATGGGAGAGGGACCATGGCTCTAGTCCCAGGCTTATATTTCCATGTGACATGGGGGTCTAATGTTTCTATGGTGAGCGGAAGGGACTCCCTTCAAAGCTTCCTCTTCTCCTTCCCTCACCTATTTTTCCTCATCCAGGCTCAGATTTCATTGTGATATTGAACAACCTTAGGGCAGCCCCTGCCTAGTACACAATTCCACCCAGATGAATGTGGGAAACCCGAATGGCCCAGAGCTTTCCACATACAAAGTCACACAGGGATGTTGTGTGATTCAAAAGCTACTGCGGTTTCGGTGAAAACAGTTTCGTGCAAATGTCTGAGCTTTCTGCAGATGGTTTACTAATCCGTACATATCATTGCCAATAAGCTCTTTATGAAATCCTTTTAAAGTACATTAGATGTGACAAGTTTCCAGAAGCTGGGATCATCGGTTTAATGTGCTGACATTCAGAAAGGCCAATAGGATTCTTGCTCATCCACAAAGCTCCTTTCAAGCAACTTTGTGATGATGTTATTGAAAGGACTGGATTTTTTAAAAAATTTGACGTGACAGAGATAAAAATAACAACTATAATTAGGAATAAGTGAATCAGATCAGTAAAACATGTATGTTATTTAAAACGGTGATGTAACTTTGAATTTAAATCAAAGGAAACTAACATAGGCAATGACAAACTATATAAAACACTAAATAGATATTTATTGTCGTTAATATCCAAATCCCCCAAATCCTTTCAGTTTTCACTATTCTTTCATTCAATATTCACTTAATACCTAACACATGTCATCAGACAGCCTCTGGGGATACCATAAAGATCATCCAAGGTCTGTATCTTGAAGGAGCTGACAATCTACTAAAAGCAATTTCTGTACAATAAGGATTGTTCATAAATATAAGTCCTCTTTCTCTAAATTGTTTAGAGCTCTATACTAGATATAAATGTCTTGCAACAGCAAAGAACAATATTATTTATTTTTTTTAAGTTTAAATTTTTGATAATTCCCTATTATTAGAAAAGTAGACTCTAAGGAAATCCAGAAATGGTCAGGAATATTGCCTATCTGTCCATTTTCTCCTCTGGTCCCGATTGTGACTCACAGACCAAGGAAAGAACTAACCTTGATTAAGGAGACAACAAAGCTAATTGACTACTTAGTGGACAAATTCATGACCTTGGCCTCATTATAGCACTCAGTCTCACTAGGAAAGACTATAAAGAAACGAAAAGAAGTAATGCTACTCGCCCAGGAAGTGCTTGTCCAATGCCATATAACTAAGAAAAACTAGCCTGAACCCACTCATATACACTATGGAGGGAGTACATAAATTGATACAACATCTCTGGAGGATAATTTGGCAATATCCATACACTTTTACACACATAACTTTTGGCCCAGTAATTACACTTCTAGGAAGTCCTCCAATAAATATATGCATGCATTTTTGCAAAAATATATATGCATGGCTATTCATCGATTTTTGTAGCAATAAACTGGAAACCATCTAAATGTCTAGCAAGAGGGGATTGGTTAAGTCAGTTATGGTATAGCCATCCACAAAATACCATGCAGCCCTTTTAAAAGAATGAAATAGATTTAGATATAATGATATGGATCAATCTCCATGATATGGTACCAAGTGAAAAAAAAACAAAACAAGGTACAAATCATGTTGAATAATGGGATACTATCTGAGATTTTTAAAGGGGAATTAAAAGAATTTCGTAAAGAGCTTATTTAAATATATTATACATAAAAAAGCATGTATACTATATGTCCATATATAAAAATGTATTATGCATACATGCTTGAATATCCATAGAAAGACAGGTAGGGGTTGTTTTGAACTCATTGGGGTCTGAGATGAGAAAGACTGACTTTTCTCTACATCCCTTTGGTATGGTTAATGCATGAATTTTTTTTCAGATTTTTAAAATAATTTAAAAGAAAAAAATGACCTGGAAAGATTGTCCACATGTTCTGTCTCTCACTGCAATGGCTCCTTGAGTTCATCTGGGCTTAAAATGTTTGGCAGTGTTTAAGTACCTCAAGTAGACTCCAAACTATTTGAGGGCAATGACCATGGCTCATCGTCTTGACCTTCCTTGGGCAAGATACTTAACTTCCATAAACCAATTTCCTCAGTGGTCTATGGAGATAATAGTAGGGGCTGACATTTACTAAGTAATGACCAGGGATCCATGCTCTGTGTTTAGTGTTTTTAGCATGAATAATTTCATCTAATCTCAAAACAACTCTGTCTATTAAGCATTATCACTATAGCCTCACTTTATAGATGGGGAGAGAGACTTATCACCCAACTAATAAGTGGGGGGGCTGGAATCTGTTTCCAGAATCCATGTACTTAGAGGGTTGTTTAAGAAGTGAGAAAGTGCAGGCAAAGCATTTAGCAATGTCTGGCCCTCAGGAAGTGCTTAGGAAATGTTAGATATTATTACTGATGTTATTTCTTCCCTACCAGGAAACTCTTCCAGCCATTAAAAACATGCACCCAACTGAACAGAAACAAGGTGGCTTTGTCCTGAAAGCATGGTTGAAATTTTAGCAGAGGCATGGTCAGGAGTGTGATACGCAGCTTGAGTTCAAACATGAGGAAACACCTCGCATCTCTTTAGCCGTGAGTGCATTGCCATGGGAGGTCATTAGGGAAAGCACTGTGGCAGGGGATGATTCTTTAACCCCCCCTCGGGATATGATGGTTTTACTGCTATTAATAACAGCTGTGGCCAGGCAATTACAGACTGGAGGTGGGTAATCACATCTTGCATTTTAAAGCTTAGTCTGATCACCTCTAGGGTCAGGGAATGCCATGGTTACCGTAACGGTTAAAGTCTGTCTTGTGCCACCATTTATGGACCAAAGTTCAAGCCTTGGATGTCTGGAACATAGTTTATCTTCCTTCTGCAGTATGCATGTGTGTGTGCACGTTTGTGTGTGTGTGATTTATTTTCTGTGCATGTAGAGGCTGCTCCAAATCTCCCAAAGCTGCACCCTGGCTCCCGCTCAAGTTTACCTAGTAAATGTTTCTTTTGAGGAAACAGGAAGCCAAGAGGTCTCAATTCTGCTTTCAGCTCTGCTACAACTCCCTTTGCAATTCCAAGGCTTTTGCTCATTTGTGAAATGAGGGCAGTCTCCCAAGGTTTACTCCTTTGTCACAACCAGGAGCTTTCTAAAGGCAGAAACTCTTATATCAATCACTGAATTCTCAGTGTCTAAAATAGTGTCTGGCATATAGTAGACACTCAATAAACATGAAAGGAATGACTGAGTTTCCTTCCAGTTACAATGTGACATGATTCTGTAAAGTCATAACTGAATGCATCGAGTTGATTCTAACGCGTGCAGCAGGTAACGCTGGCTGTGAGCTCTCTTATTTTTCTCTGCCTACAGTTGAGACATCATCATGAACGTTTCCACTGGAACATAATATGTGCAAAAGGAGATGATCTACCAAATTTGCCTCTTCTCCAGCAGTATTGGAAATGGTTTGGATGAAGAAGAAACTGAAAATATTAATTTGAAGTGTCAGTGATCTGCTGGTTTTACTTTTGTAGAGTGTACCTGTCAATCAATCTCATTCATAATCAATAACTGGCCACCACAGCTCCTGTCATCAAGGCCTCTACACTCAGGTCCCCTTGATGAATTAGGTTGAAGAGAGGCCACTAGCTGACAATGTCTGAAAACTTTCAAGTGAGATGGTCATCATTCCAGATCTGGAAGGGGAAATGACCAAGGAGGACATTCTGGGTTTTTGTCTGTTTTCATGTACATTAATCAGTGTTCTTGGTTGTGAACAAGACATATAAACTCTGGCCAAGAGAAGCAGGAGAATAATTTTTTTTAATACAAATTTATTTTTTGGGCTGCGTTGGGTCTTCGTTGCTGCGCGCGGGCTTTCTCTAGTTGCGGTGAACGGGGGCTACTCTTCGTTGTGGGGTGCAGGCTTCTCATTGAGGTGGCTTCTCCTGTTGCGGAGCACGGGCTCTAGGCGCGTGGGCTTCAGTAGCTGTGGCACGTGGGCTCAGTAGCTGTGGCACGTGGGCTCTAGAGCGCAGGCTCAGTAGCTGTGGAGCACGGGCTTAGTTGCTCGGCGGCATGTGGGATCTTCCCGGACCAGGGTTCAAGTCTGTGTCCCCTGCATTGGCAGGTGGATTCTTTTTTTTTTTTTTTTTTTTTTAATTTATTTATTTATTTTTAGCTGTGTTGGGTCTTCCTTTCTGGGTGAGGGCTTTCTCTAGTTGTGGCGAGCGGGGGCCACTCTTCATCGCGGTGCGCGGGCCTCTCACTGTTGCGGCCTCTCTTGTTGCGGAGCACAGGCTCCAGACGCGCAGGCTCAGTAGTTGTGGCTCACGAGCCCAGTTGCTCCGCGGCATGTGGGATCTTCCCAGACCAGGGCTCGAACCCTTGTCCCCTGCATTGGCAGGCAGATTCTCAACCACTGCGCCACCAGGGAAGCCTAAGGCAGGAGAATTTATTGTAAGGATTGCCGGTACTACATAATAAGTGAGACACCACCACCGGGTCCACCACTACCACCTCCACTAGTAGATACTGCCGGTGTCTTAAAGACTCCACCACCGGGGTGAAGTTTAACCTGTCCCTTTATCCTTGCACTGCCTGCTCAAGCTTCAAAGTTCCAAACAGGAGCATCTGACTGGCCAATCTGGGTCACACACCGCGGCCCTAGCTGCCAGGGTTTGGGAGACCAAGTCCCCAGTGAGCTCCCATAGTGGGAGAAACAGTCCTGAGACTCACACAGTGCAGGAGTCCCCCCAAAAGAAGTGAGGTCTGCATGCTGGTCAGCCACAGAAAAATGACAGGTGTCCACTACATCACAGCTCATAGAATCACATCTGTAAGCTTTGATTATACATCATTTATAAAGATGGGTAAAACTCAGTCCCTGTAGTCATAAACCCAGGGTCCTAAATGGAGCAGACTTATGATTAATGGACACAGGCTTGTTATGAATTCCTGCTCTAAAAGCTGACAAACTTTCCAGCCTAGATTAAGTTTTAATCAGTTAGCAGATTCCTGCTTCTTTACCCAAGGCAATTTTAGAAGTTGCGGTTGAACACTGCACGCTAAAGGTATGTCAAAATTTCTGCCACCAGCACGATTAACCCAAAGGAACTTTCTACTCTTGATCAAGTTTCCATTCCCCTCCTCAATCCTCCCACCTCAACAAAGCAAGATGATGCCAGGCATTGCTACCTCTTAGCCCAGCGGTTACTCTTGAACTCTAGGGACACAGCTTCAGACCTTGGACCCCGCTTCCCTGCAGAAGGACTGCTGGGATGAGCCCGCGCTCAACCTCTGGTTTATGGCGGGCAGGGGAGCTAAGGAGAGGAAGGGCCAAGACCCATACTGGAAGGGAAAGCTCTTCTTAGTAAATAATGGTGACCCTCCAGGCAATATACAGGTCTGAGACTTGCAGAGGGCAAAGTGGGGTATGGGTGGGTAAAGTGGAGGTCACAGCAGGAGACTGCCTCACCCCAAACAGGAGCAGTAACTCCACCGAAGCCATGAAAATGTACAGCACATTCACCTCCAGCAATCTATTCCACATATATAGCTGCAAAGTACGTAAAGATATACGTACGGGAATGTTCACTAAAGCACTGTCGGCAAACACACACACACACACACACACACACCAAAAACTGTCCACCTATAGTTCAATATATTACTATATAACCATACTATGGAGTACTATGTGCCTATTAAAAAAGAAGTGATACATAAGTAGATGCAACCATATCGTAATAAATTGAGAAAAGCAAGTGGCAGAACAGTTGGCATAGTACGATTCTGTTTGTTTTTAAAAAAGGGATACATAAGTAGGCTTATATAGGAGTAAAAACTACTGCAAGGGTAACCTAGAAACAGTGGGAATTAGTGGGAGGGGGCGGGGAATGAGACCTTTGCTTTTCACTTTATACCCTATTTCTGTTTAAATGTTTACTGTGAGTTCACAGTCTATAATTAAAACAAACTAATTTAAAATGTTGTAAAAGGGGAGCGTAGCAAGAAAAAAAGAGTAAAATTGGCCAGCATCAAGCAGGAGTCAGAGCTCAGAAAATAATTTTTTCCTCAACAAGGTAGCACACCTAAGCCTGAGGGAAGGCAGGCATCTGACCCTGAAGAACATTTCTCTGCTTGCAGGCCCAAATGGAAAACCATCTCTGTCTGTATCTTTTCCTTAATGGTCCTCAGAGCCAGGTCTGTGCTCAGCTCAGGCGGGTTCCTACCTTCTGCCACTTCTCCAGAAATCTGGATGAGCTCTTAGGAAGCTGAGTCATGGAGAGGCACGCCCTGGGCCTCACACCACAGCCAGATTCAGCAAGCATAACTGAGGGAGGGATGGCCCTCTCTCCCTTCCCCACCAAGAATTCAAGTGTTATAAAAGCACCGCACTAGTTGGGCCTGCTTGGTTTGTGGTCCTGTGATTACGGGGTGGTGCTGGTGGTAATGGTTAAGCCGATGGAAACTAGTTTGGAAATGACTGATCTTTAGAAGAGAAAAAGAATGACCAGGCTTTACTAATGATGCTAAGTAGCTTCTGTGTTACCAAAAGCAGCCCCTAAACAGTCCATACTGTAGCTTGCATGACAAGGAATGGGGAGGAGCATGAGGATGAGCTTAGAAAACGGCCCCCCAAAGAAAGAAGGAGCTCTCCCTCACCCTCCCACTGCCACAGGGGAACCTCACTCCATAAAACCTGGTGGAAACGTAGCCACGGGTGCCCAAAGGGGAAGGATTGGGGTGCATTAGTTAAAGCTGGCCTAACTCGCGCGGCTCTTCCTCCCACCACTTCCCAAAGCCCCAGATCTTCCAGGCTGAATTCTCCCCTCTTCTTCTCAACTCTTCTGGTCTTCTCAGAGCTAACTCCAATCCCTTCAGCACGGAAAAGTGAGGGACTGAACCACTTTTCCCCCTTCCCCGCACCGCCCCCCCCCCGACACTAGACAATGGGTAGGGCCTGGTACCAATGTTTGTGAGTTAGGAAAACTTCCATTTTTATCCCGGTACCACAGGGAAACTCCCAGTTCAGACTCCCAGGGACAAGGGTGGCTGGAGGAGATCCAAGCTGCGCCAGGGGGTCAAAGCGACCCACCTCCAGTCGGCAATCACCAAATCCCGCCTGGGCGGCAGGCCTAAGGTCTTCCTCCGCTTTTCACTCAGATGTGGCGCCGGCCCGTCTTCCGTGTAACCCACGCGATCACCCAGGCAGGAAGACCTGTCCCAACTCCATCCCCACACCCACTTTATCCCCATCCCCGGGGAGATCCGGCCCTTTTCGCAGCACTTGAGAAAGCTCCTGCAGTGGCCTTGCCCAGACCCCTTAAGGGGAGGCTCCTTCGGACTGTCCCCCAACAGCGCGGGCCCAGCCCTGCCCTTGTTCAACTTGTCTTTTGAGGACCCCGGGCCGCCACCTCCAGCCCAGCCCTCGGCCAGGGGGCAGCGGTGCGGGGGAAACAGCGCGAGCCTGCTCGGAGCGCGGCCGCCCCATTCTCTTCCCCGGGACCCAGCGGGTCCCGGCCCGAGGAGCCCCCGGCTGCTATGAGCGCACAAAGCCCGCGGCCGCCGGAACCCTCGGCACCGCCGCGTTCGGCCGCTGGATCCTGACACCCCTGGGGCCCCGGGGCCCAAGCCGCTCGGCGCGCTGCCCTCCGGCCACCAGGTGCGGGGAGGACGCGCCGCAGCGCCCGCCTCGGGGCCGCGCTGGTTAGGTAGCTGGAGGGACCGGAAGGATGGCGAGGAAGTAGGAGAGGGTTTCCTGAGATGAAAGATTACTTCCGTCCGGGCTCTGGCCTCTCTCTGGAGCCGGCTCGTTGGGGGCTGGGGAGCGGGGTGCGCGGGGCTCGGGGGCCGTGCGTTGCCACCTGCAGCGCCTGGGGCCGGCGGGACGCGCTCGGCCCTGTCGGGGGCTCACGTGGGGGGGGATCCTTGCAGGTGGGAGTCGAGAGCATTTCCTAGCGCCCGAGCCATGGTGGCCAAACAGCGCATCCGGATGGCTAACGAGAAGCACAGCAAAAACATCACCCAGAGGGGGAATGTAGCCAAAACCCTGGTAAGGCGGGGGCGGCGCTGACCGGGCGGCGTGGGGCCGGGCCCGGGCTGGGCGGGCGCGGGGCCAGCCTCCCCCTCCTCAGCGCCCCGGGCTGCCCCTCCCGCGGGGTCCCGCACGGTGGGCGCTGAGGGCCGGGCTCCCCGCGGCGCGGACTTGTGCTCGCTTGAGCGGAAAGGGCCCTGGTTGGCCGTGGCCCCTCTGGGAGCTTCTGCTGGGGCTACCGCGGAGGCGCAGAAGGGCCTCCCCAGAAGAGAACTGGGCCTTTGTCTCCGGGAAAGACGAAAGTCACATCCTTCAGGGAACAGTTAAACCAACTGCTTGACGCCGGGGGCCTGGAACCTAGTAGGTGCTAGCTCGGTTTTGTTGAATGAATGAATGAATGAATGAATGAATGAGTAAAGAGAGGCCCTTTGCCACGTCTCCCTCCTAGGCTTCATCCCCTGCCCTCCATCCCCAACAAACACACCAAGATAAGGTTTTCTTTCCTGCCCCTTTGTAATGGTCTCCGTGTATAAATTGGGGATTAGGGATGCTATTCAGCCGGTATTTCCCTCCATCCTCCTCTTTGGCCTCTTCTCCAGTGAGGCCCCGCACCACTCGGCGAAAGTTTAAAAGCAACATTCCCCTTGTTCTCCTCGTCAATTCCGGCTCATCCTGATAGTATGTTCCAGAACTTTAGAGACTAGCTTATTGCCAGGCATTCTGCACCTCCAAAACCATAGACTAAAGCTTTATAACAATGCTTACGTAAAATCTGTGCCTTAAGTACAGGGTTTTGTGTGTGTGTGTGTGTGTGTTGTTTGTTTGTTTGTTTTTAGGAAAGCAAATGATCTTCAACAGAAATTGCCAGGCCCATGATCCTGGACATTCAGAGGCAGCCCTCGGATGAGTTGTTGAGTAGAGCTGGTCTCCAAGTGTATGAGCAAAGGCGCATGGAATCTATTATCCCAGACACTTCAGTGGAAGTTCAGCTGAAACTTGAGGTTTGGCTGGAAGAGCTTGCAGACTTGATGAGGCAGTTGCTTTTAGCCAAAGGCATGAAGCTGGTTTGCTTAACTGAGCACAAAGCTGGATCTGCAATCTCCACTGCAGGATGTTAAAGTATTTGGGGATTATATCCCTAGGAGCTCAGTTCTTCCCAGGATATCATACAGACTAGCTGATTTACTGAAAATTTCTAGTCGTGTGGTTCCTTTTAGTGAACTGAAAAAACAGAGGTCACTTAATTCTCCTCAGCTGACAACTGATCTGACTGCAGAAGTAACAACAAAACAGAAACTGCTTTGCAGAGCTGTTTTACCCATTGGGCTCGATAAAGTCAGTGTCTGCCACTTCTAGCTTCTCAAGACCACTAGAAAATGTTTGGTACCTGAAACAAAAATGATTGGCTCCAAACTAAGAAAAGAAAATGGAAAAATTGGAGGAAATGCTGTTTAAATATCTAGGAAATGTAGTCAACTTGACTGCAGTTCAACTTAACTTTCAGGGATATTTTCAAATTATGTTTAATGTATGGTCTGAATGGATTTTTAATAGGTTCTGATATACCATGGAGTGGGCCCTTCAGAAGTGCCTGGCGCCTATGAATGTTTCTAAATGGTCCTACTAACTTTGTAATGAAAGGTTTCCAAAGCAAGCCACAATGTATGTTTATTTTCCCTTGGTTAGAAAGGCTTTTTGGTTAACTTTATTGTAAATGGATCAGTATCCAAAAAGAAAAATGAAATTCTCTTTCAAAAAGAAACACTTTAAATCTTAAATCTCATTTTCCTAATTAGAGATCAAACATGATTATACTTTGAAGGAAGTAACTTGTAAGGGGTAGCTTGTTCAGAATGAAATTCAGTAAATGCAGACACATGAACAGATTCTAACAGAAAATTCAGAATAATTGTTCACAAATAAACTCCGTTAATTGTATATAGATGCTTGGGTATTTCATTATCAGCTTACAGCTATGGAGTGAATCAATACTGTTCTCCCAGATAACAGAAATGGAATAATCATTTCATGATTATACGGTAGTAACTTCTTCAGAATGAAAGGGCGATTTAAATTTCAGAGTTCTGAGTTACCCTGCTGGTATCTTATCACAGGGAAAGCCATCCTCTGCATTTTGGAGCCCAGGGAGTGACAAATTCCTGTGGGAAATGAACCATGTCATTTGCAGGATTCTACTGCTTTTCTTACCTTTCCCAGCAATAGATTCAGGCTTAGGTGAATTGTCCCAATAGATTTGTGCTGGGCACTGCTTCCCCAAAAAAGTAACTCAAAGCTCTCAAAAAACGATATATTGGTATCATGACCAGCCAAGGAGTTCTTGAGCTCTGAAAGTCCACAAATAATATTGATTCACTGTGGAATGTCATCAAAAAGGATTTTGTGTTATCAGGATGCAAGCTCTGTATCCTGAAAATTTGAGTTTTTCTGCAAAGGAAAAAATAAATGATTCCATTTGGTAACTGCGTGAGACCAAAAATCCATCCACAGGCTCCTGGATTCACTTGTTGACTCTGCTGGAGATAGAACTAGATGAATTTTTTCGTTTAGCATCAGTGGGATGACAGCAACAGAATTTGTTTCTGGTCAACTATCACAAGTGATTAGGAAGTTGGCGAAGGGGCAGAGGGGTGAATGTCACACTCTGTTCAGGTAACTTTATTTAATACCCCTATTATTTACGTGCTCTGATCTTGACTTGGTCTTAAGTGCCAAAGAATGACACAGTACAAATGCTGATTAAAGTTATCCTATGCAATTATTTAAGACTGATTTTGTCTTTCTTCTAGTCAAAAGAAACCATGTATTCCCTTGCAGTGAGATTTGCCACCATACAAGAGTGTTGGTAGATACAAGTGGTCAAGGTCGGAGAAGTGAGTGGTCTTAATCCTTAGATTCTACCTGCCACTGACACTAATCCATACTTCTCTAGTAAGAGAAATGCTGGAATAACCCTGTCACCAATTGGGGAGTATTAAAGGAGCCAATATCCTTCCTAGACCCTTTCTTTACGCTAGCGGACCTAAGACATCGTATTTAGTGGGGCTTGTATGCTTATTCATTCTTCGAAGAACATTTATTAAGCGTCTGTTGTGTTTAAGTTCTGGGCCAGACGTTGCTATACATTGATATATGAAAGAGACACAGTGCCTGCCCTTGCAGGGCTTACAGTCTGTGGAAAGACAGACATCAAACACAGTATCACAAGAATGAACATCGAGATACAAACTGTGATAAATGCTATCTAAAAAAAAAGTACTTGGTGATTTAAGTGCCAAGTGAGCTCAACTGAGGTAGAAGAGAGAAGGCTCTCTAAGAATGCAACAGGTAAGCTGAGAACCGAAGAACTGTTGCCTTGTCTATGATAAAATAAGTTCTTTAACCTATATTGGCCACAGCCTATTTTGGGCTCATGTCAATGAGGGAATATTTAGTGAGTTCTTCATTTTTCTTCACTCTACCTTCTCCCTTTTCACTTGAGAAATTCCCCACATTTTCAGATGCCTTTCTCAGAAAATAATGGTTTTCCATTGATTGATTTGCTTGTAAGGACCAAGCCTTACCTGCGCACAGACCCAGAGGAGTTGCAGAGGGACCTTCCTCTGACGTCTGTGCTTTTGGCTTGAGAAGGGCAGGCGGTACGCAGGGCTGGTCCGTGTGGGAACCACAGTCCCCTTATGCTTCCCGGGGATGCTGAGATTTCTCCCAAGCATAAGCGTCACTAAGAATTAGGAGGTTTATTACAAAACGCCGCTCCCCTCATCTCCATACACAGCTGCTGTGGTGCGTCTACTGTTCCCAGGGTTTCCACTGCAGTGGCTTCCCAGGTTTTTAGCACTTAGAAAGTTTTGAGAAAATGGCTGTGCTCTGTAACCCTGCTTGGAAGCCACGGATGCAGGAATTCAAGATGAATCTGTTGGAGGAAAATCCCCTGGCTCCGTAAAGAGGGAGACCTAAATGTGAACCCCAGCTGTTGTCCCAGTTAGCAAACCTTGAGCCTCAGATGGAGGCTCCTCGATGGAGATGACAATACTGGCCTTGCGAGGGGTTGTGAGTGCTAGAGATCGCGGTTGTTGGCTGCTTTCTAGAGTGCCTGGCATGACGTGTGCTTTCAGCCAACAGAAACAATGATTAGTAATATCATTTTTGGCTTCCCAAATCACTGTATTGGTTTGTGTATTTATACCTCATCGGTCCCCAGAATATTTAAGAACCACCCAGTTCATTGAATTACAGGGGTGTAAGTAAGGTTATTGATGAATTTTTCCAAACCAATCTTGATCCCTTAAAATTGACTTTGTTCGTCTAGATCTGCCCGCTGGCATTGAGACTGGGTCTGTCTCATTCACAGAGGTGTCTAGTGACTAGCCATACTCAGTAAATGCTTCTTGAATGAATGAAGCTAATCTTACTTTCTCCCATTCCCTTTCAGAGGCCGCAAGAAGAGAAATATCCTGTGGGACCATGGCTGTTGGCACTGTTTGTTTTTGTTGTCTGCGGCTCAGGTATGGGTTTCTCGCTGCCCTTATATCCCATGGTCTCCTTTGTCCTATAAAAACACATGTTTTATTCTCAAGGTAAATAGACAAAAACTATATTGGTCTGGGATTCAAGTTAATTGCTGCCCAAAGCCTTCATCTTAATAGGTTTTGATTTCATTGCCATCCCAGCAGACAGAGTAGAGACAGAACTGATGTGTTATCAAATCATAATCATAAATGATCACAGTGAGCAATTAAACTGGCTGTGGCTACACTTCAGAGTTCAGTTAAAGCTTCCTCTGAAGACCTAACCTAAAAAGGGCATTTGGAACAGAAAGCGGAGCACCTGTCTGCCTGAGATAATCCACGTTCCAGAGAGAAGGAGAGGCCTTATGCCTTAAGGGAAGCTCTGCAGAGGTGCTGGGTAGAACAGAGCCTTTGACCTGAGCCTCAAGGGTGCAGCCACCTGATGCTGGAAGGTGGCAAGTTAAGAGAGCTTTACTCACACACACACACACACAGCGCAGACTTGACCAGAAGGATCATGCAGTTGTTTCTAGTTGACCTCTGTAATTGGGAGCCTTGACTTAATTCCTGGTCCCCATGGGGTCTCTGAAGTACTGGTGAGTGGAGGTCACTTCTATCAACAAGGTAGGTCTTTAGACGTTCCCATCCTCCATCTCCTCACTGTTGCTGAGGGCAGGGAAGGCGAGGAGTACACATCTTCCTGCAAAGATCTAAAACTCCCAGGAAGACGTCATTCCTCCCCAATGGCAAGAGACGCCCATGACTAAAGGTGCCTCTGACCTTTAGGAGACCACTCTTCCAAGGAAATGAAAGCTCTTAGGAGGAAGGAGGGATCCGATGGTCTTGGCACTATTGCCAAACAAGCCTTTGTGTGAGGCTCAGTTTTTTTTTTTTTTTTGGCGGTACGTGGGTCTCTCACTGTTGTGGCCTCTCCCGTTGCGGAGCACAGGCTGCGGACGCGCAGGCCCAGCGGCCATGGCTCACGGGCCCAGCTGCCCCGCGGCATGTGGGATCTTCCCGGACCGGGGCACGAACCCGTGTCCCCTGCATCGGCAGGTGGACTCTCAACCACTGTGCCACCAGGGAAGCCCCAAGGCTCAATTTTTTAAAGTTGATTCCAAGATGAGAGAAGATCTTCCACTCCAAGAAACGAAAGTGTACACCATCCCTAAAGATGTGTCCTCAAAGGGAGTCTTTTGTCCAATACAGAGATCGCTCATCTTTAATACAGTTTACCTGGCCACTGCTGGAATACTTCAGGAGCGCTCACTCCTTCAAAAAGCCTATCCCAGGGCTTCCCTGGTGGCGCAGTGGTTGAGAGTCCGCCTGCCGATGCAGGGGACACGGGTTCGTGCCCCAGTCTGGGAAGATCCCACATGCCGCGGAGCGGCTGGGCCCGTGAGCCATGGCCGCTGAGCCTGCGCGTCCGGAGCCTGTGCTCCGCAACGGGAGAGGCCACGACAGTGAGAGGCCCGCGTACCGAAAAAAAAAAAAAAAAGCCTATCCCATTTCTGTGCAGCTCTGATTCTGTTGGAAACATCTCCCCTCCTTTGAACCACACTGTGGTGTCTCCTCGGTAGTTCAGGTGTGGACGCCGGAAACCACACAGCTTAGACTCTTTTGCTTCTGAACGTCTTGACCCTTCGGATATTTTCAAGATGACTGCCTAGGGACTCCTTCTGCAAACTCAACTTCCCTAGTTCTCTCAGCCTTGTCCTCATAAGATGTAGTTTCTAGACCCTTCCGTACATGCCATGACTCTCTTAAAGTATTGCATTTGCAACTGCAGAAGTTGGTCTAGAAATGGTGCAACTGCTACAGAGATAGTAGGTCTGTCCCTGCTTTTTGTCTCATAACCCTGCTTTTATTAATATGCCCCAAACAGTTTATTTATTTATTTATTTAACATCTTTATTGGAGTATAATTGCTTTACAATCTATGTTAGTTTCTGCCGTGTAACAATGTGAATCAGCTATATGTATACACATATCCCCATATCCCCTCCCTCTTGCGTCTCCCTCCCACCCTCCCTATCCCACCCCTCTAGGTGGTCACAGAGCACCGAGCTGATCTCCCTGTTCTATGTGGCTGCTTCCCACTAGCTATCTATTTTACATTTGGTAGTGTATATAAACCCATGCCACCCTCTCATTTCGTCCCAGCTTACCCTTCCCCACCCCGTGTCCTCAAGTCCATTCTCTACGTCTGTGTCTTTATTCCTATCCTGCCCCTAGGTTCTTCAGAACCAATTTTTTTTTGGATTCCATATATATGTGTTAGCATACGGTATTTGTTTTTCTCTTTCTGACTTACTTCACTCTGTATGACAGACTCTAGGTCCACCCACTTCACTACAAATAACTCAATTTCATTTCTTTTTATGGCTGAGTAATATATTCTGTATGTGTGCCACAGCTTCTTTAACCATTCATCTGTCTATGGACATTTAGGTTGCTTCCACGTCCTGGCTATTGTAAATACAGTTGCAATGAACATTTTGGTACATGACTCTTTTTGAATTATGGTTTTCTCAGGGTATATGCCCAGTAGTGGGATTGCTGGGTCATATGGTAGTTCTATTTTTAGTTTTTTAAGGAACCTCCATACTGTTCTCCATAGTGGCTGTATCAATTTACATTCCCACCAACAGTGCAAGAGGGTTCCCTTTTTTCCACACCCTCTCCAGCATTTATTGTTTGTAGATTTTTTGATGATGGCCATTCTGACTGGTGTGAGGTGATACCTCATTGTAGTTTTGATTTGCATTTCTCTAGTGATTAGTGATGTTGAGCAGCCTTTCATGTGTTTGTTGGCAATCTGTATATCTTCTTTGGAGAAATGTCTGTTTAGGTCTTCTGCCCATTTTTGGATTGGGTTGTTGTTTTGATACTGAGCTCCATGAGCTGCTTGTATATTTTGGAGATTAATTCTTTGTCTTACAGTTTATTTTTAATAATCACAGCACCTCCTAGACTTACAGAGAGCTAATGGCCAGCCAGGCCCCACCAAGCTCTTCTTCACGTCAACTTCCTGCAAGCTTCAGAGATGCATCTCCGTACCCTCCCATCTAAAGTTGTCCCCTATCTGCATTACACATTGTTTTATTTTATTCATGGCCCTCGTTGACATTTGAAATTATTTAATTTGCTTACTTATTATCCATTTCTCTCTACTAGGATATAAGCTTAGGGAAGACAGTATTTAACTTCCACTAAATTTTTAGATACTAGCACAGTTTTTAGCACATAGGGAGTGGTTAATCTCATTGGCTAGATGGATGGATGGATGGATGGATAAAACCAAATATTCCCCATGCTGTAGATATTAAATAGACTTTTTTTAAGACCTAATATAAAGCTCCATGAACATTTCTATTTTAATTTCATTGTTGGTTGTTAAGCTGTTTTTCTACAGAGTAGCCATAAAGTATGGAAACGTAGAAGAACATAAATAATAAATGGCTTACTGATATTACATAATAATGTACAGTATGGTTAGTGATGTTACATGATGCATTCAGTGTATTGCCCTGCATTAGCAGTGCATAGTTCAGAGCACTGTGAAAAATTGCAATGGGGCTTCCCTGGTGGCACAGTGGTTGAGAGTCCGCCTGCCAATGCAGGGGACATGGG